GAGTGAGGGAAGGAAGGAAGGAGAGAAGGAAGGAGAGAAGGAAGGAAGGAAGGAAGGAAGGAAGGAAGGAAGGAAGGAAGGAAGGAAGGGAGGGAAGGAGGGACGGAGGGAGGGAGGGAGGGAGGGAGGGAGGGAGGGAGGGAAGGAAGGAGGGAGGGAGAGAAGGGAGGGAGGGAGGGAGGGAGAGAAGGGAGGGAGGGAGGGAGGGAGAAAAGGGAGGGAGGGAGGAAGGAAGGAAGGAAGGAAGGAAGGAAGGAAGGAAGGAAGGAAGGAAGGAAGGAAGGAAAGCAGGCAGGCAGGCAGGCAGGCGAGGTTGCTTGGAGCAAGTGGAGCATCTAACATGCCACATGCCTTGAGACTCGGGCCCCTGATAGTTTACGCTGGCCAGGGTCATTTCTGCTCGTCAGTGTGGTCGAAGCAACATGAGCAAACAATGCCCTCGGGGGAGCAGGCATCCCTGCCCTGCAGCCCACCCACACAGGCTCTGGGCCCTGCCACCCCACACTCCAGACTTGGGAGATTTCTCAGCATTGCCGGAGCATCTCCAGGCAAACCCTTACCTAGGCAGCAGGTCCCAGAGCTATGCTGACTTTGGGGGATTCAGAGCCCATCCATGGGGGCTTCTCTGGGCACTTGGCCCTGTTGGGCGCCCACCCTGGGGCAGAGAAAAAGCTCACAGGCATTTCTTTGCAGCTGCCTCCTCCCAGGAACCATCAGGCACCACCGCAGTAGAGCACAACCCGGCCGTGAGCAAGGGCGAGTAGAGCTTGGCTGCAGGGAGCTCTTGCCGACTCTTGTCTCGCTCAGAGAAGGCCGTGGTGGTGGGCTCTGCTTGCCGCATCTGTGTGGTCCTTGAGGGTTCAAGGCCCCCAGAATACACTAGCCCAGCAGGACCAGAGGGGGCCCTCAAGTCTCCCAGCAGCTTCTGGCCAGCGACAGGCCCCGCCCCCCCCACCCCCCACCCCCCGTGTCCACAGCCTCTGCCAGCTACTCCGAGGCCACTTCAGTCCTTGTTGTCCCAGGTCCTCGCTCCAGGGGAACAGGTCATCTTCTGAGACCAGGCTAGCAGGCGGCAGCTTGTTGCTGCCCAGAGGCTGCACACTGTCCCTTGACAGCTGACCACAGCACGGCCAGTGCACTGTGACGGCCCGAGTGCCTCTCCTCTGCGCTTCCAGAATCTTCTCTCTGCACGCAGGGGGGGAAGCACAGTCTCTCCTGTTCTTCCCCAGAAGAATAGCCCACCTGTTTATGGAACAATGATGGAAGTCGGCCAGGAGCTGGTGCAGGGAGCACACAGGGCCCTGCCTGCCCCCGGGTGGGCTCAGTGTCCCCGTCCCCCACCAGAACCTCCAGCCAAGACCCACAACCAGCACAGCCAGGTCAGAGGCTGCCATCACCAGTGCCGTGGGGAATGGAACTGTAATTCAGGCAGTGGCAGCGGGACCAGGAGAAGGATGGAGGGAGAGAAGCTTCTGGCCCAGGACCGCACCTGGCGATGTGCCCAGGGTCACTCCCAATATGCTCAGAGGGCCCAGCACGGTGGGGGCAGCCAGCATCAGCCTCGTGCAGGGCCACCCTGCCCGCCCCCAGTAGAGTTCTCCAGCAGGTTTTGAGACACACAGAAACCTCTTCCCATCACCCAGCCTGCTTCACCCAAAAGCAGTGAGATCTGACCCAGAAAGGTGCCACTAAGGATGAAACCAGAGGCATCGTGTTACATGAAACAGACAGGATGGAGGGCGGGCACCAGAGCTTCTCTTCGCCTGAGCTGGCAAGAGACCAGCATGGAACAGACGCCTGATAACCCCGCCTGGGCTCGCAGGATGGAGGTCACAAACCATGGCGGGTGGACGAGGGACAAGTGGGGACAAGGAGTGACAAGAGGGAGGGGGAGGGGGAGGAGGGAGAGTCTTGGGCACTGGAGTGGTGGTGAAGGGACAGTGACGTGTTGGCATCAAAGGACAGTGACATGTGGGCATCAAAGCCGTTGGGGAACAGTTTTTCCCTAATGTGCCCAGACATGTTGTGCACCGGGTCCAGGCAGACATGGAGTGAAGGATGACGGGCGTGTGGAGAAACCACTCGAGGAGACAGCCAATGGCCGCTCACTCTATTGCCAAATACACACATATTCTATAGAGGGTCTCGGCTTTAGAGGATGGTCCAATCACGTAAAGTTTAGCATTACTGACCTATCACCGTTTTGTTTTGTTTTGGTTTTGGTTTTTTGCTTTTTGGGTCACACCCAGCAGTGCTCAGGGGTTACTCCTGGCTCTGCAACTCAGGAATTATTCCTGGAGGTGCTCGGGGGACCATATGGGATGCTGGGTTCGAACCCAGGTCAGCCATGTGCAAGGCAAATGCCCTACCCACTGTGCTATCGCCCCAGCCCCCTGTCCTATCACCTTGCCAACTCTGCCTTGCCCGGCCTAATCCCAATTAGGGCTAGATGCTGCAGTTAGGAATGACTCGCTAAGCGGAGGTGACAATTCTTGGGGGGTGGGGTGAGACTCAAGGCTGGATGCCTGGTGCTTGTCAGATGCTTCCAGATACTCCCTACTGGGTCGCTGTGCAGGAACAGATCTTAGATCTTACCTGCTGTGCAGGGGCAGATCTATCTGCCTGTGACCCTGTTCTACAAGAGCATTACCATTAAGTTCCCACCCATGTGAACTTCACAACAACTTGAAAACCAAAGAGTCGGGGAGGCTGGAGCGATTGTCCACAGGGAGGGCGCTGGCCTAGCACGCATCCTCGTATGGTCCCCTGCCTGCCAGCGCCCCATGGTGACTTCTGCAGGTATGTCTGTGGTAGCCTGGTTCTTCAGAACGTGCATCGGGAAATGAGGCTGCCGGGGGCGATGCATGGGCGGTGCATGGTGGAGTCTTCTCCCCTGTGGCTGCGGGAAGATGGTCAGACACACGGCAGAGGCCAGAATCCTGTCACACAAACAGCCATACTCGCCACTCCTGGGAAAGCAAAGTCACGTGATACGGAACAGCATTGCTGTCCCGGCCAGGACCCAGGGAGGCCAAGTGAAGCCCAGTGAGCGGGAACCTGAGGGACAGACTCTGGAGCTTGGAGGACTGGGGGGAGGGGCAGGGGCGAGAGATGTCAGATTTTCTGGCTTCTGTTTGGGGACACTTGAAAAGTTGAGAGTTTGCAGGGGTTTTTTTCTTTTTTTCTTTATAAATTTGTTCACAATCATTTATTACATTCAATATTTCAACACCAATCCCACTACCTTTACACCTTCCCACCACCATTATTTCTAATTTTCCCACCACCCCCCAAGCCTGACCCAAAGGCAGATGCTAAATAATTTATTTTGTATTGCTTGTTATGAATAATCCACTAAAAATAATCAAAAAGGTTTCCTTAGAGGAGAAGTGTGTGAAAATTGTTGTATCTCACCTTGGAGTCATTAAGCCCCTGGATGAGAGATCACTAGCATGTTGTTATAGGTTGAGCCTTGTGCTAATATATGTATATATATATATATAATATATATGTATGTGCATATATATATGTGTGTCACTGTCACTGATCTCCTGTTGTTCATCGATTTGCTCAAGCAGGCCCAGTAACATTGTGAGACTTGTTGTTACTGTGTTTGGCATATTGAATACGTCACGGGTAGCTTGCCAGGCTTTGCCATGAGGGCAAGATACTCTCGGTAGCTTGCCGGGCTCTCTGAGAGGGGCGGAGGAATTGAACTCGGGTCGACCGGGTCAGTCGCATGCAAGGCAAACACCCTACCCGCTGTGCTATCGCTCCAGCCCTATAGATAGATAGATAGATAGATAGATAGATAGATAGATAGATCAAGATCAATTGCCTTCTGCTTCACACCCCACCAAATGTTGTGTGCTACTCTTGGTATATCAGTGGCATAAAGTATGAGATACCACACTGCCGAGAAAGTGGCCACATGCTCCAGGGATTCTAAAATTTTGAATAAGGTGCTAGAGCTGTAGTTAGATTTTTAACTGGATGGTGACTTTGGAGTCCGGAGGTATCTCTGTGGCATGTTGCACTCTTCCAAGATTTATCTGTGAGTCTCTGGATCATGGCCAGTTAATGCACTTATGTGGCATCCAGAGGCAGTTTGTGGGCATGGCTGCCAGGAAGCAGGAAGCACAGCAAGATGGGGGGAGGAACCCGTTCCCAACTCTGTGCAAACCTGGAGGTTTCAGTCACAAAACCCGCCTACCTGGGTTTTTCAGTGGGTTCATTCTCGTGTGGGGGTTGGAGGGCCCCCCAACAAGCCCGTGGAGGTCGGCCATGAGCATGCTGGAGACTGAGTCCTGGAAGTTGCAGCTGCCGGTGTTCTGTCGGGGCAGGCCAGGGACTTGCCCTCCCCCTCCCAGGTGCCCCCCATGAAGTCAGCCTGGCGTGGCGGGAGGCGGCATCGCTCAGTTTGCACATTTTATGGAATGTCACTGAAACCTCCTGGAAACTGGAGGCAATGCCTGTGGCCGCGGGCTGGGGTATGGGGTGGAGGGTGGTGTGCTCAGGGTGTCCAGTGGAGAGGCAGCAGGGGAGACCCTTGCAAGACACAGCCACAGCCCAGGCCGCTCCCCAGAAGGCCCAGGGGAGGAGGGTCGGGGTGAATCGAAGGCTCACCTCGGCCCTGCCCACAAGTCCCTGGGCGGACCTGGCCCCCAGATCTCCATGCCAGAGCTTTTTACATCCTTGTTTGGGGGCCACCCCCAGCAGTGCCCAGGGCTGACTTCTGGCTCTGCGCTCGGGTTCACTCCTGGTGGTGCTCGGGGGATCCTGTGGGGTGCCGGGGATCGAAAAGGAGCAAGGCCAGCACCCTCCATGCTGGGCTGCCGCCCCAGCCCCCGGGTGACAGCTGTTCCCAGGGCTCCGTTCCAGTGCTCCCCCCATGGCACTTTGCTGGCCCCAGTTCATCACCATAAAGAGACTGTTTCCAAGAGCAGCCTCACCTGAGTGACTGGCGTCTGTCTGTCTGTCTCTCCTCCCGGACAATGAAGCTGCAGATCCTCGTGGACACGGGCAGCAGCAACTTCGCCGTGGCTGGAGCCCCTGACGCCTACATCGAGTCCTTCTTTGACAGCGACCGGTGAGTGAGAAGCCCCACGGGCCTGGCTGGGTTTAGGGCACCAAGGAGCAACCTCAGGGTCCATGAGGGCAAGACAGCCCCTGTGTTTGTGTTCGTGCGCATATGTTTGTGTGGATGCTATGTGTGTATGCGTGATTGTGTGTGGGCACGCGTCTATGCGTGCATGCTCATGTGTGTAGGTGTAAATGTGTCTGCGTATTGTGCAACGTGTTGTTTGTGTAGATGCCTTTGTACAGTTTTGTGTATATTTATTTGTCCATTGCATGTGTGAGTTTCTTCGTGTATATGGGCATGTGTTTGTATTTGTGTATGCATACATATGTGTCTGTGTATTTGCTGTGATATTGTATGTATGAATATATTTATGATGTTCGTGTATGTAGACATGTATGAATACATTTTTATATAACTGTGTATCTGATTGTGTATTTGTTTGTGTGGATGTGTGTATTTGCATGTATGCATGTAGGATGCTGCATGTCTGAGTACTTGTGTCTACATTATGTACAGATGTGTGTATACACGTGATTATGTGAACATACGTGGCTGTTTGTGTTTTGTAGAAATGTTGTCTATAGGGAGCTGTATGTATACATGTGCATTTGTGTTCATGCATGTGTTGAGTGTGTCATCTCTGTGTAGTCATGGCCCGTGTGTGTGTGTGTGTGTGTGTGTGTATTTGTGTTTGTAGATACTTGTGTTTGTGTTGAGCTAGAGTGCCACCATCAGAGTCAGGGGGTCTGTGCAGCATCAGCCCTGTGGGGGGCCGTCTCCTGCCCGCTCTCCTTGGTATGGACAGGGGTCCCTGGTCCTTGTGGCCAGCCCCCATTGCCGACAGACTGAGATTGCAGTGGAGGGATGGCAGTATGGGTGCAGAGCCTTCTCATGTCCCCGCCCCCTGGCCCGCCATACACGCTTCTCTGCCAGGTGGTCTTGGCCCTCAGGCTGGTGCAGTGGGGACTCTGGTTGAGTGTTTGGGGCTCTGGGCTCCTGGCTTCTGTGGGAACCTCCCAGGCTGAGGGGGGTCAGTGGTCGAGACCTCCCACCTGCTAATTTAGGGCCTCCCCACCTCCCTGATTTCTTTTGTGAGCAAATCAGGAGACACCCCAGTGGGCAGACAGAGTGTCCCGGCCAGCCCTGGGCTGATGGCCCACCCCGCAGCTCTGCTGAGGGACCCAGCTCGCTCCAAGCTGCCTCTCTCCTGGAGAGGACTCTCTCCGCAGTGCTTTCCTGCGTACCCGCAGAGGTGGGGCAACCCCGTTCCTTCGCTCCCCTCCCACCCTCAGCCCTTTCCCCATGCGTGGCCTTCCCGTGCGGCCCCTTCCCCCCATTGACCCTCCCAGACGCAGCTTCTCCTTCCCGAGCCTTGTCCGCGGCCCTCTGCTCAGGGACAGCCATAGAAGCCGACACATCCCCATCCCTGCTCCAGGTCTGACTAGTGCTTTTGTCCTGAGCCGGCTCCTGCCCTGCAGTGCTCCAGGCTCACTCGCCTCTGATCAGGCTCCGTGACAATAAGGCTCCTGGGGGCGTTGGCGGAGCAGCTCCGTGCCTCCCTGCTTCGGATATTCAGGATTCTTTGCTTCCTGGAACATTTCCCGGTAATTGGGGATCCAGCTTGGGAGGCTTTGGCTGCTTTGCTTTCAAGTGTGTCGCGAGCTGCCTGGCGGCTGCTCCTCATCTATGCCACTGGCCCCGTCATCCACCCTCCAAACGGAGAATGTTCCCTCGCTGGCTCAGAGGAGGAGTGGGGAGGGGGGGAGCCTTTGTCCGTATTCTCGCTTTGACCCGGAACATGGGCCTGGCCAGCAGGCCTGGAGAGTCGCCCACGGATGCCTCTGCCCCCGGCCCCCATGCGTGTTCGGGAGAGGAAAGATCTTTCCTTGAAGTTTGTTCCTGCTCTGTCTGCACTGGCCTGAGGCCCTGGAATCGTGTGCCTGTGTGCTGGGGAGGCCAGGGTCTGACAGAGTATGTTGAACGGCACTTGGTGCTGCCCTAAGGGATGGCCTTGGCCCCAGCCTCTGAGCATGTTCCTATTTCTGAAGCTGACCCTCACAACGTCCAACAAGGCTGAATAAATCAGTATTTTTGTGGCGTGAATGGGGGGTTCCCTATCCAGCATTAACCCCACCCTCATGTTTAGAACCCTGTGACGGCCCAACCCCTGCCTAGGCTCTGCCCATTCTTTATTTTATTTTATTTTTATAAGGTAATTCACAATATTTGATTACATTTGATATTCAAACACGAATCCCACCACCATGACACCTTCCCACCACCGTATTTCCAGTGTCTCCATCCCGAACTTCAATCCCCGCTCCAAAGCAAAACCGAAATAATGTAATATTTCCCACTAAGGTTGGTTGCCTCCTACTTTGAATCCCAGCGAAGGTGGTACAGTGCTCTTGGAGTATGGGTAGGGTGTGTCCTAGGAAGAGTCGCAACCACAAGGTCCAGGAAAAGCTTCCACTCGTGGCTGACGCTCGGCCAGAACGAGTGGAGAGAGGCTGTGAGCACGGTGGTGGTTGAGTTCTGGAGGTTTTCGGCTGCCGGGGCTGGGTCCCTTGGGGCGGGGAGGGGTCTCACCGATCCCCCTCTGGGACGGCCCGAGTGAAACAGCCTGGCACGGGGTCCAGCGGCATGGTTATGGCAAGCGTCATGTTTTGGTCCCTTCCGGGAGAGAAGGACATGCAACTTGGATGGTGGCCAATGACGGGATTATCTGGCACCAGCCAGCGGTGGCTTGTGGGTGTGACTGCTGAGTTGCCGGAGACAGGGGTGCCCATTCTTGTCAGCACCCCGAGTGCTGAGCTCACTTTCCAGCCTGAGTGTTATCCAGACAGTAAATAGATGAACCAAAAGAGCCCGTCGCTATTAACCATGCTTTGTGTTTTATATCCTGCTCGAAGTGAGAATAAATTAAATGTCTCCAAAGTTTGTCTGCCAGACATTTTAAAAATAAGTTCTCTCTCCGATTATGAAATGCGTTACACATTTCACAGAAAATGTGGGAAATGCTAGTCCTTCAAAATCTAATGCAGTTAAGCACAGTGCCTGATTTATGGAAATTTCTTGAGACCCAGAGAATAGGTAAACTTAGGGGTACCCCACTACTCATGAAAATGAGTGTTTCCCCTCCCAAATGCCACCTGTCAGAGTTGACTGAGTGTAGCACTGTAGCACTGTCCTCCCATTGCTCATTGATTTGCTCGAGTGGGCCCAGTAACATTGTGAGACTTGTTGTTACTGTGTTTGGCTTATCGAATGTGTCATGGTTAGCTTGCCAGGCTTTGCCATGTGAGCGAGATACTCTCAGTAGCTTTCCGGGCTCTCTGAGAGGGGTGAAGGATTTGAACCTGGCTCGACCGGGCCAACCACATCCAAGGCAAATGCCCTACCACTGTGCTATCACTCCAGCCCCCTGTGCTGAGTGTATTAGGGTTTTTTATTTTAAAAATAACTTTTAATAAAGGTTCTGCCATATGCACAAATCTTCCTTTTGCTTAAATTTTTCCAGTCAATGAAAATGTCTTAGAACATTGCTTTTTTGTGCTGTATAATATTCCTTTGTATGGTCTTACCCTAACTGACTGAATCGTTTCCCTCTCCCTGGGCATTGCATCTGTTATCATAGAATACAGTGGCTTAGAACAGAACACAGTTCTTTGTCCAGAAGCACGGTCTCTGAATTAAGGACTGTTCAGTGGGACTCAATTGGCCCTCCAGCAATTCTCAACCCACCAGGCAGACAGTTGGGTGTGAGGACCCGAGGGTGATGCTCAATGCTTGGGCCTGCTGGGTGGTGCTGGGGATCCAACAAATGTTGGCTCCATGCAAGGCTCTGCCTTCCCTCTGCACTCTCCCTCCTGCCCCAACATTCACATGTTCAAAGCTTAAGAGAGATACATGGAAGACCAAGAGCCGGGTCTCAGCCGAAGCTGGAGTGGGGGTTGGGGTGTAAATTAGGACAAGGGAGGAGTGGAAACGTGCCTTCCGCAGAGGTGGGGTGGGGGGGGACTGGGGACAGTGCTGGAGGGTCACAGGCACTGGGGACAGCATGGGTTGGAACAACGTGTGCCAGAAACTCGATCATAAATATCCTTGTAACTAACTTTGTAGTTCATGGTGATTTAATAATAATAATAATAATAAAATTTAAAAAACTAATTTCAAAAAAAGATACGAAAGCTAAAGGTGGTCGCATCCCTGGGATGACTCTGCTCCCTGGCCCTAGAGGAGACTGTCGGAGCCTTACACCAGCCCCTGCTGTGTGTGTCAGGATTTCCTGGTGGGGCACAGGTCAGACCTCCACACAGCAGATGGCCCAGGAACCCGGCACTGGAACGTGGGCACTTTCCCGGGATACTTCCTGGGGGCACTTCCCAGGGCCACTTCCTGGGGGCACTTCCCAAGGGCTCTTCCCAAGGGCACTTCCAGAGGGCACTTCACAGAGAAACTTCCCGGGGGCACTTCCTGAGGGCGGCTGGGAGCTGTCCCATGGACTCCGTGCTATACATGGTCCAGTTAGGTTTTCAACCTCAGATGGGTGCAGGAATTACTGGATGGTGAGATCAGAGCTATTCCACAGCAGGGAGGCCACTGGCCTTGCACACAGCCAACCCAAGTTCCATCCCTAACGTCCCACATGGTCCCCTGAGCACAGCCACGAGTGACTGTGGCCAGGACTGAGTGACTTGAGTGCAGAGACAGGAGTAGCCCCTGAGCACTGCAGGGTCTAACCCAAAAACAAAAGCAAAGAATTACTGGATGGGATGGGACACTTCTGGGTCTGCTGGTCCCAGGGCCCCCCAAGGCCACATGTTCTTTTGGCCCCACACCAGGCCCAGTAGAGCCACCTACAATCCCCTCCCTTTACCCCTCCCCGACTCCATCCCCTGCACAGTCCTCAGCCCCCAGCCCCCAGGGTGGCTCTGGCCTGTCCCGGAAACCCCAGCCTGGAGTGTCCCCGCCCCACCTGGTCCTGTCTCTGGGGTGTCCTGGCCGGCTGAGACTGTAGGTCCACACCCTGGGGGTGACCCGGGGCCCAAACCTTCACTGTCTCTCACACGGGCCCCACCTGGCTTCTCGGAGGGAGGCATGTGAACTTGGGGGTCATCAGCAAGGGGGGGGGGGGGGCGTGTGGGCCCTGAGGGAGACGCCTCGGGCTTCAGCCGTGACATGGAGTATGGATGAGTCTCAGCCCCTCTGCCACAGGCCAGCGGCCCAGTGGGTACTGGACTTGGCTGTTGGGGTCACAGATAAGCACAGTCAGGTAGAACCCCGCTTCAGGAAGTGCCCCCAGGGGCACAGCTCAGCCACTGCCTTTCTCTTGCGAGGGCCCCCCAAAGAGGGCCCACTGGTGAGTCCAGGCCAGCTGCAGTGGTCAGCACTAGAGTCCGAGGAGGGGGTCAGAGCCAGCCGAGCTGGACATTGCCTGGCCACTGGGCAGTGCCCAAGGAGGACCTCAGGGCCACACGTGGCAATGGCCAGGGGACCAGGAGGTGCTGGGGGTCGGACCCAGGTGAGGCACATACTGCGCATGTGCCCTACCCCCGTCCTCATCCTGCCCCCTGACCCCGAGTGCCCTATCCTGTCCTGTCTCCCAGCCCCTGGCCCACCCCGTGTCTCCCTCGTGCGGTGGCCAGCACCTGCCTGCCGTGCAGGTGACCAGTGGCAAGCATGGCTCTGACCGCACGCTCAAGGCAAGCGTCCATGTTAGCCACCAGGCTGCCCTGCGTGGACATGATCCCAGGACAGCCAGTGCCCCTTCCCTCTGTCCCCGGCCGCAGGTCCAGCACCTTCCGCCCCAAGGGCTTTGACGTCACCGTCAAGTACACGCAGGGCAGCTGGACGGGCGCCGTCGGGGAGGATGTGGTCTCCATCCCCAGAGGCTTCAACCGCTCCTTCCTTGTCAACGTGGCCACCATCTCTGAGTCCGAGAACTTCTTTCTGCCGGGGATTAAGTGGAACGGGATCCTGGGCCTGGCCTACGCCACTCTGGCCAAGGTGAGCTGGGCGGGAGGGCTGGGGGGGTCAGAGACAAGAGCAGAGGCTCAGCCATGAGGGGCGGCCATGCAGCTTCCAGAGGGACTCTCGGGTGCCGGCCAGCTCGAATCACCGGCGGTTGTATCTCTGTGCATGCCACGCTCACGGGGCCCAGGGCTGCTTCTGGAACCTTCTGCAGGGTCTACGCTCACACCATGTGGGTGTGTGCCCTTCATTCCCTTTACAGTTTCAGTAGGTTAAAGATTGCGAATTCCTTTTTTTGTTTGTTTGTTTTCTTTTTGGGTCACGCCCGGCGATGATCAGGGGTTACTCCTGGCTCTGCACTCAGGAATTACTCCTGGCAGTGCTCAGGGAGCCATATGGGATGCTGGGATTCAAACCCGGGTTGGCCGTGTGCAAGGCAAATGACCTCCAGCCCCGAAAGCGAATTCCTTTAGCCGGTGCTGGCTGAGGGGAGTCCTTAGGGCAGGAGAAGGAAAGGACGGTCCATAACTCAGACACTCCCATGAAGACGGCACTTTCAGGACAGGAAGGTGCCCCCGTGACTCAGAGGCCTCCTGTGGCTTCTGTGTCACCCCAGAGTCCCCCATCTGAAACCTGCAAGCCGAGGGACCAGCCGGGTTTGGGATCTGGGACTCCCTTCTTGGAAGGACCAGGACTTTCTCCCGAGAGAGAGGCAAAGGGTCCTGTAGACACTCGCCCCTTCCCCAGGGCACAGCTACACAGGGAGGCTTCTGGCTCACTCTGGGGTCCCATATAGACTTCAGGGGATTCACACTGAACCCCGAGTCCAGACCTCAGGTGGAACCACACCGTGTCCCAGGGTGAGACTGGCCATGGCCCAGCACCCCTGCAGCGTCCCCCCCGACATGGGACAAGAGAACCTGGGCTGTGAAGGCCTCTGCGAGACGCGGTTCCTCCTGGTCTAAAGTTCGCTTCTCCTCGGCCCCTCCCGCCGTGGCCGCTGCTGTGGGCAGTGCTCCTGCCGTTGACCCCAGTTCTCATCACCAGCTTGGTGGCAGTTTGGCTTATGAAAAAAGTCAGATGTAAAAGTGTGTCATCAGGGCTGGAGTGATAACACAGCTGGGTAGGCGTTTGCCTTGCACACAGCCAACCCGGGTTCGATTCCCAGCATCCCCTATGGTCCCCCGAGCACTCCAGGAGTGATTCCTGAGGGCAGAGCCAGGAGTAACCCCTGTGCAATGCTGGTTGTGACCCAAAAAGAAAAAAAAAAAAGTGTGTCATCAGCAGGTAGGGCTTCTGCCTCACACGCGGCCAACCCAGGTTCCATCCCCGACATTCCTTACGGTGACCCCTGCCAGGACTGACCCTGAGCATCAAACCAAAACAAAATGTCATCATGGCCCACCTGCCTGCATCTACACTGGCGCAACCACTCTGTCTACACTGGGTTCGCTGAGTCCCTTGCCTTCCTTCTCCTGCAGCCTTCCAGCTCCCTGGAGACATTCTTCGACTCTCTGGTGACCCAGGCGGGAATCCCAGATGTCTTCTCCATGCAGATGTGCGGAGCGGGGCTGCCCGTGGCTGGCACCGGTACCAACGGAGGTAGTCTTGTGGGTATCTTTTAGTCATAAAGGGGCGAGGTCGCAGGTGGGTGGGCCCTTCTCGCGTGGGGCCCCGGGGGAGCACGGAGGGAGGCCACCAGGGCCGTCTGGGGTGGGTCACCCAGGAGGCAGGAAGTCACTGCCCGTTCACCACTTCCCAGACTCCACTGGGGCTTCCAGAGAGCTCTGCAGGGTCTGGGGGTAAGGGGAGGGGGGTGTCAGGGGGTGGAGAGGCAGGAAGAATCCGCAGCCTGGATTTCGCCCACCCCCGTCTCTGATTTCCGTTTCTCCCAGGCAGGGCAGTCGAGGGTTTGAAGGAATACTCACATGGTCTTGAATACCAATTCGAATTGGGAAATTGGGAATAGTCTTTGTCCTGCTTTCCAGAAAGATCTGGGCGCAGGAAGCGTCCGCTCTTGCTTGCGGGACTCAGTGATTCTCCTTCTGTGCAACCTGCTACTTTACTGCATTTCTTTAGGGGCAAGCTCTCGATATTGCAGAGCTGCCTTTGAGTTGTATGTTCCGTGTTCCCCTAAGAAACCCGCGGGGGTGTCTTGCAGAGAGGGGAACGTCCTACAGTTTGATCTTTGGAGAACGGCCTCTGTCCCATCTCAAGAGCAGGGGAGAGGCCGGGGGAGGGGGGAGGGAGGAGGGTGGGGAAGCTCCCGTTGAGGCCGTGCCTTGCTGCGTGGCTTGCTGAGATGCTGTAGGTTTCTGCTCTTACCCCTACAAATAATTCCCTCCCCAGGTCCTGGGTGGGATCGAGCCCAGCCTGTACACAGGAGACATCTGGTACACCCCGATTAAGGAGGAGTGGTACTACCAGATAGAGATCCTGAAGCTGGAGGTCGGAGACCAGAGCCTTCACCTGGACTGCAGGGAGGTAAAGCACGCGGGGTGCAGGGGGCTAGGGCGAATCCCCGAGGGCTCATCTAGGCGCAGATCAGAGGTTCCTTACAGTAATACGGTCCCTTTCATATGGCCTTAGACTCCCTCGCCCAAAACTCTTCACTTCCTGCCAGCCACTGGGCTTCCAGGAGGGGTTCGTGTGGTGGTGGGGGTGGGGGGATGTCTCTGGAGGCTGCCCCATCCCGGACTCTGAGGCACAACCTCGTGTGAGCATCTGAAGCTGGCAGCTCTTACCGGCAAGAGACAAGAAATCAGCCAACTGCAGCCCTGCCCCATTCCCAGCTCCACCCTTGGTCCCGCATACGCTTCCCCAGAACACAGACTCCAGGAGGTTCTGGAGCCTGCCACCCTGTCCTCTCAGGCCCGCGCTGCCCTCAGGCCCTTTTCTGCCTCTCCTGGAGGACTGCCAAGCACGCCTGCGTCCCACTGTCCCACGCACGCCACACGCTCCCCCCGCACCCTGCATGGCCCAGTTCACCACACGCAGACCGCAGTTCCCGATGCCCATTCAGCAGGGCTCGCTGAGGCTCTTAGGGGCCCCAGTGAATCCAGCGGTGGGTCTCAGAAAAATCACAGATGGCGCAGGGCAAGTGTGCGCTAACGTGTGCGTACATTAGCAGTTTGGGGTGTGTGTACAGCGCAGTTTGAGATGTGCTGAGATGTGTGATGTATGTGGTGTGGGTGCATGTATGGACTTGAGTGCTGTGCCCCGTTTATGTGTATGCTGTGCATGTGAGTTTAGTGTGTTTGTGGCATGTCTGTGTGTGCTGTGCCTGCGTGTGCTGTGCCTGCATGTGGTATACATGTGTGCAGGTGGTATGTGTATGTATTTGGGTAGATGTGCCATGTATGGTGTGGTATGTATGTGTGTTGTGCAGTATGGTGTGGTAGGGCTGGAGCGATAGCACAGCGGGTAGGGCGTTTGCCTTGCACCCAGCCAACATGGCCGACCCGAGTTCGATTCCTCCGCCCCTCTCAGAGAGCCCGGCAAGCTACCGAGAGTATCTCGCCTGCATGGCAGAGCCTGGTAAGCCACCCGTGATGTATTCGATATGCCAAACACAGTAACAACAAAGTCTCCAATGGAGACGTTACTGTATATGATATGTCTACATATCACAGACACTGTCATATGTGTGTGGTGCATTGTGGGGATTCATGTATGTGGCATGTGTGTGGTAAATGTGTGTATATAGCAAATGCAGGAACATATGTGTATACGTGTGTTTGGCGTTTGTGTGCTCTAGTGCATGTGATGTCTATATAAAGTGTATATGCTGATATTAGGACATACATATGAGCTGTATGCTTGGTGTGAGTGTATATATATATATGTGCTTGGTGTGTTACATCTGTCATATATGTGGGAATGTGTGCATATATGCATGCGATGTGCATTTGATGTAGGTAGGTGTGCGTGATGTGTGTTTGGAGTGTGTACATGTGATATGTGTGCATGTATATATGTGGTGTGTGCAAGTGTATGGTGTGTGTATGTGGTATGTGTGTTTGGAATGTGTACTGTGTGTAGCGTATGATATATTTGTGCATGTAAGTGTGGTATATGTGCGTGCATAGGTATGGTGTGTGTGGAAAGTATAATGTGTGCTGTGTGTTGTGTATAAGTGTGCACATGTGTATATGGTACATGTGTGCATGTGTGTGATATAATGTGTGCTGTGTGGTATATGTATGCATATGTGTATGGTGTATACATGTGTGTGCGTGTGTGTGGTATAATGTGTGCTATGTGGTACACGTATGCATGTGTGTATGTGGTACGTGTGTGCATGATGTGGCATACTGCGAGCTGTGTGTATGGTGTGTGGGAAGTGAGTGCACATGTGTATATGGTACGTGTGTGTGTGGTGTGTGTCTCCAGGCCCTCTCACGCGTGCACAGAGGCCCACAGCCCATTCTCTCCCGCTCCCCATCGTGGGAGAAGGCGCTTCCCCTGTGGGCTCCGTGGCAGGGTGCCCGCCCACATGGGGAGCTCTGGAGGGCGGCGAGTGGGGTCCCGGGCATGTTCCCTGTCCTGTGCTCATCCCACCTGTTGCAGTACAATGCGGACAAGGCCATCGTGGACAGTGGGACCACACTGCTGCGGCTGCCCCAGAAAGTGTTTGACGCCGTGGTGGAGGCTGTGGCACGCACATCCCTGGTGAGTGGGCGGGGCTGCGGCCTGGCATGGGCACCGCAGTGGGCAGGGGACAGCATGGCCAGTCAGGGTCTGATGTGTGTGCTGTCAGCAGCCCCAGGCCCTCCTGGGCATGGCTGCAGCTGTTTTCCTCTCCCGGAGATTAAAACCCTGCCACGTGGCAGAGCCGCAGAACCAGTGTCCTTGAAGGTAAACAGCAGTCAGGGTGTGGGCGGCTAGGACAGCAACACGTGCATGGAGCCCTTCCTTCTGTGGCCTCTCGTCCACACAGTGCTGGGCTTAATTCTCCTGGAAGTCACTGCCTGATTCCAGGAGACACGGGGCCACGGGCCAGTCATTGTGGTTTCTCGGCCCTGTCGTGGACCCCCGGTGGCCCGATTCCTGGGGGACCCACGTCCGGGCCTAAAGCAGTGCCCCAGTCAGCAGGTCTTGTGGGCCGGTTTGGGTGGAATTAGCCTTGGTTCCTGCCGCCACCGTGCACTGAATGCTGGAGTGAGGATTTGTGCCCTTGTGTTGGCGGGCTGGGAGACAGTGCGTGGCAGGGCCCTCAGCAGGTCAGAGCTCCTGTCTCAGCCGGTCCACCTGGCTTCCAGGGAGGCTGTCACGAAGCCCCAGGCCAGGAGCCCACAAACGCACCCTTTCCTGCAGAATGCGTGGCCACTGCGTGCATGGCCGATTCCTGCCGGGATTCCCGGCAAAGGTGAAGCTGGCTTTGTCGCCGGGCAGGGAACAGGCTCTGCGTCAGAGCCCCCAAACTCACAGGGAGCTGGGGGGGAGAGTGGCGGGAACAAAGACGATGGGTACAGAGCAGCGGCCACTGCTCTTGGCTGAATCTGCAGGCCAGAGGCCCGGGAGGGCTGTGGCAGGACAGCAGAGACCCCGGAGGGTGCCTGGGCCTGAGCTGCAGGCTACCACCCTGTGCTTCTGTCACAGAAAAGGCAGCGGCAGAACCCAGAGACCCAGAATGTTCCAGGCTGTGGGCGCTGTGTCGCTAGAGGCATGTGTGCCCCCATCCCCCACCCCCCAGCGCAGGCCCCTGCGGAACTGTCACTGACACCCATGAAGTCACCGGGACAGAAAGCCACGAGGCAGGGTGACGCCAGCCGCGACTCCTCTAAAATTAAGCTCTGACTTCAGCACCCACGGGAGGAGGCTGGGAAGGGGGTTTCGGCGGACTGGGAGGGAGAAAGGGAAAGAGGGAGGGGCGCCGGACTGCCAGCTGCCTGAACCTTCTTCTTTCTCATCTGCAAGGCACGTCTGCCCACGGTCCCTTTTTATTTATTTATTTATTTATTTATTTTTATTGAATCACCGTGAGATCCAGTTACAAAGCTTTCATGATTGAGTTTCAGTCGTGCAGTGATTGAACACCCATCCCTCCACCTGTGCACATTCTCCATCACCAATGTCCCCAGTATCTCCCCCCTCCACCCCGCCCCCCACCAGACCCTGCCTCTGTGGCAGCTCCGTGGCAGGCACCTTTCTTCTTTTTTTTTTTTTTTTTTTGCTTTTTGGGTCACACTGGCGGTGCACAGGGGTTACTCCTGGTTCATGCACTCAGGAATCACTCCTGGCGGTGCTCGGAGGACCATATGGGATGCTGGAAATCGAACCCGGGTCTGCCGCGTGCAAAGCAAACGCCCTGCTTGCGGTGCTATCACTCCAGCCCTGGCACCTTCCTTCTTACTCTCTCCTTCGGGGCATCCTGGTCTGCAGTACAGGCACTGAGAGGCCACCATGCTTGCTCTTTGGTCTCCTTTGAGCAGCGCCTCCCAGGCCCCCTTCTCGGTTCTGAGCCAGGCTACATAGCTGTGGGGCCCCTGTGCTGTGGGTGCAGCCAGGGAGTAAACTCAGGGCCTTGCGGGCTTGTGCCCTACCCCTTGGGCCACCTGACCCCTGCCTGATCTTTGTATTGACAGGAGCCCACTAGGGGCGCTGTGCCCACCCTGCCCTCCAATGCCTCCTGCTTTGGGGTGTCCACCGGGCAGTGGGCTGGAGCTGGCCCAGCGCAGGGACGGGTGCTCCTCTGCCACGTGGAGCGTGTACCTCCATGGAGGGAGTGTGTGCTGAGCCCTGGGGTGGCCCAAGCCTTAGCCCCCTCCCGGGATGGGGAAGGGCAGCCCCTCCCCCAGCACAGGAGTCTTCCCGGGACTCCACTGCCGAGAGACTTAACTTTTGTAAAAATGCGGAACACTGGGGCTGGAGCAATAGCACAGCAGGTAGGGCGTTTGCCTTGCACGTGGCCGACCCAGGTTCGATCCCCAACATCCCATATGGTCCCCTGAACACTGCCAGGAGTAATTCCTGAGTGCAAAGCCAGGAGTAACCCCTGAACATTGCTGGGTGTGACCCAAAAAGAAAAAAAAATGCAGGACACTGGTTTTAGAGACCGACTTGGTTTCCCTCGAGCACTGCAGGGGCAAACCCCAGAGCACAGAGCCTGGAAATCATGTGTAGCCCCCAAAAGCAAGACCCCCAAGAGGAAGCAGAAGCCGCTCCATGCCTGGGATGGGTGGAGGCAGACCCTAGCTTCTCTGTCTGCCCCCGGCGGGGTGGGGAGAGCCGTCCACCAAGTGGCAGTCAGGAGGCCCTGTGCCTCATCCTCGTACCCCTCACTCCTCCCCGCCTCCCCCACCCCTTTCTGGGAGTCTTCCTCACCACCTCACCCCTGGGCAGGTCCTGACATCCACCCTTGCCTCTGACACCCAACCCCACATCCCAGCTGCCTACCCCGGGGCCCACCACCTTCAGCATCCCCCCAGGCCTTAGTGATCTTCCACGGCATGGCCCTGACACAGACCCCCTCCCCGAGCACCCCCGCTCCCCTCCAGCCCAGCCAGTTCTCATGTCCACTCCCTGCCCCGCCCAGACCACATATCCCCCCACCACCATGTCCCCGGCTGACTCCGGGTGCTGGTGACATCGTCCGTCCTCCCATCCCCGTGAGAAGCTCTCAGCCCTTTGTTTTTGCCAAAACTCTTTCCTGGTACCAGGGAGGAGAGGAAACAGGAGTTGACCTCTCACACCAATAACACTGCCTGTTAACTGCTCCAGAGAGAGGGTCAAGGAGGAAAGAGGCACAGTGGGATACTCACCTCTCAGAGGAAGATGTAGTCATGGAGGACTTCCTGAAGGAGAAAGCATATGCCGATGTGGGAAGCAGAAGGGGGGGCGTGAAGAAGGATGCAAAGCACACCCAGGGCTCTCCCCAGGGCAAACTCACCGGGCCTGGGGGATCTGGACGCCTATCATAGGGTCTTCCGAAGGGCACGCCTTGCTGTGTAGCCCTGGGCAAGCCCCACTGTCTCTGTGCTCAGGTGTCCTCACCTGCAGGTATGGCTGATGCCAGAGCACAGACGGAAGCCTTTGGGGTGATTTAGGCGGATCCTTAATGCAGATGCCCATCCAACATGGTCAGCTGTGTCTGTCCCTGCGGGCATCTCTGAGGCTGCAGCCAGGCCAGTGACGTTTGCTCCGTGATCCGCTCCCGTGCAGATTCCAGAATTTTCCGACGGCTTCTGGCTGGGATCCCAGCTGGCCTGCTGGACCAACGCAGAGAGCCCGTGGTCCTACTTCCCCAAGATCTCCATCTACCTGCGGGGCGAGAACGCCAGCACCTCCTTCCGCCTCACCATCCTGCCTCAGGTGCGCTACTGCCACAGGCCCCGAGACCCGGCTGGAGCCCTGACGCCCCCCCCCCCCCACCATGCTGGGCGCGCGGCCACCAGCCCTGGGACTGTCACCGAGAGCGGCCTTCGGGAAGGGCTGGGGCTCCCGCCGTGCCAGGCATGGAACTTTCGGGGGCTCTCGGGGAGACCCCCATCCCACAAGGCTCTGGGTCACCATGGCAGAGGGAAGCCGCGGGGCCCAGTCAGCCTCTGTGTCCTGCACGGAGTGTCCACACCAGGCCCAGGGCGGTCGGGGTTGGGCCCCATCTGCCATCCCCTCCCGGGCTTATCACTTTGTGGGTTCCAGGAAGAGTAGAGACAGGAGGACACTCCTGGTCCAGGTGTGTCCCGCCAACTTCCTGTAGAGACCCCAGCCCTTGGGAGACCCCCACCCCTCTCTCCCGGGTCACTCTTCCCGCCTCCCCTAGACCCCTGGTGTGGGAGTCTGTCCACCAGAGTCACGGTTCTTTCCCCGTCTGCTCCTTCCCTCGCTCCAGCCCTCCAAGAAGCAGCCCGAGAGCATCCAGAATGTTCTCCATGCTCCTCCTTGACCCTTTCTCTCTTCCATTTGATTCTGTCATTTTCATTACTCCCCCAGAAGTGCTCTGGCCTGACTCGGGCGTCGCACTCAGGGATCACCTGCAGGTGGGTCCTGCCCTCGCGGCTTGGGCCAGGGGCTCCCCACTCTGCTGCCCCTCAGCTGACCTTCATGCGTTTGTGTGTGTGTGTGTGAGTATGCATGTCTTTAATCATGTTTGTGTGCTTGTGTGGTATTGTGAACAAGAGTGAGTTCATATATGTAAGTATGTACATGTACTTATATGCTTTGTATTATGGTACGGAGAATGTGTGTGTGTGTGTGTGTATGCAGTGTGAGTGTATGTGTATGTTTTTGTGAGTGTGTATTTTGTGAGTGTGATAGCACAGTGGGTAGGGTGTTTGCCTTGCACGCGGCCCACCCAGGTTCAATTCCTCTGCCCCTCTCAGGGAGCCCGGCAAGCTACCAAGAGTATCTAGGCCTCACGGCAAAGCCTGGCAAGCTATCCGTGACGTATTCGATATGCCAAAAGCAGTAACAACAAGTCTCACAATGGAGACATTACTGGGCCCGCTCAAGCAAATCAATGAACAACGGGAGGACAGTGACAGTGACAGAGTGTGTGTGAATATATGTGAGTCCGAGTGTGTGTATGTATATGTGAATGGATGTAAGTAGGTGTGTGTCTGTATGAGTAATGTGTGTTATATATGTATGTGTGAGAACACGTATGTGTGTGAATAAGAGTGTGTGTATGTGTATAAAAGTTTACATGTGTATATGTGTGTCTATGTGTGAGTGTGTGAGTATGAGTCTGTGTGTGCATCTATGAGTGTGTATATGTGTGTACACATGTGTATGAGACTTTTGTATGTATCTATGCATGTGTCTATGTGTGAGTGTGTGGGTGAGTCTCTGTGTGTGCATACATGAGTATGTGTATATGTGTGTACACACGTGTATGAGACTGTGTCTATGCGTGTGTCTGTGTGTGAGTGTGTGGGTATGTGTCTGTGTGTATGTGTACAAGAGTGTTGTACCTGTGTGTATATCTGCTTGTCTGTGTGTGCCTATGTGAGAATGTGTATCCCTGTGAGTGCGTGTCTGAGTCTGTGTGTGTGTGTGTGTGTGTGAGTGTGAGTAGTGTGTGTGTCTCCTGCAGAACCTTCGTGTGTTTGGGCAGCATCCTGAGTCCGCTCCCTCCTCTCGGCCCCTCTATGCTCCAGCCTGCCAGACCTTCCCCTTCTCACAGGCGGCACCTCCTCCCGCCCCCTTTGCTTTTGTCTCATCTCTGTTTGATCTTCAGTTACCCCAGGACCCTCCATCTTCCCGCTTCCTGCCTCTGTGTGTGCAGCCAGGGAAACAGACTCCAGAGCACTGTCGCTGCCCAGTGAGTCTAAGTTCAGACTCTGGGCTGCAGAGCCGCTGGCCTGGGCTTCCCCTGCAGCCCTTCTGGCCTCGCCTCACCCCCAGGTCAGCCTGGCCATGTCCTCCCAGGGTGAACAGCTCCTCCTGCCCCTGCCCAGAGAAGCCCCCCGCACTGGTCCCTCCCGCTGCCCCACACTGACTCTGTCCTCCACACCCCCCCAGGACCCCTCCTGCCCTTCGAGATGTGCTTCGGGGGCCGTTGATGCAGGCAGTGCTCACCTGACCCCACGGTCCCAGGGACAATGGCTAAGGTGGCCGGACTGGAACCACGCGGGCAGCTGCAGGACGGGCAGGAATGCCCAGCCCCACCTCTGCCCATTGCGTGGAGAGGCCGTGGTAGCGTCAGTGAAGACATGAACTAAGAGGGCATGGGGCAAGGTTGGGTGGTCCTGAGGATGGGGGCGCTTTCCTGCATCCCCCTGACAGGGGAGAGCCAGGCACTGGAGCCCTGCAGTGAGGTCACCGCGTGGGCCGGGAAACATCCCAGTGTGGACACGGGTGGCCACGAAGCAGCAGTGAGGACAAAGGCTCACGGGGCATTTCGAGTGGGCATCAGCAGCAGATGGGACTCATCAGACGCCCCCTTTTATTTTGTCCTTTTGTTTTGGGGCCACACCCAGCTGTGCTCAGGGGCCAGTCCTGGTGAGGTTCAGAAGCCAAGATGGAGTGTGGGGGACGGAACCCAGCTCCACTCACGCACCCCCCACACAGGGCGAGGTTCCTATTCCAAGGGCACCTTCTTCAGAAATAGTTCACCCCCACAGAGCAGGGACCCAGAGGTTTGTGTGCCCAGTCAGAGGACAACATCTAAACCGGATTGTTCTTTCTGGTGGGGGTGTGGATTTCAAGCCCCACCATCCCTCCCGGCTCTGTGCTCAGGGCTCACTCCTGACTCAGGGCTCAGGGCTTACTCTTGGCTCTGTGCTCAAGATTCACTCCCAACTCAGTGCTTGAGGCTCACACTGACTCTGTGCTCAGGTGACATATGCGTTCCTGGGAGAGGGTCCAATCAGGCTTGGCCGCATGTATCACAAGAGCCTTCGCCTCTGTGCTCTCGCCCCAACCAACATGGACCATACTGAGTATCCAATGAAGGGCTGTGGGGTGGATGGACGATAGCAGACAGTCTCCTTCCCCGGGCATCCGTCCTGCCCAGTAGGGCTCATGCCCACAGGGACAGATCAGCCCTGCCTGGTGCTCCCTTGTCGGCGGGAGGCGCAGCCCTGGGCCGGGTCTGACTCTGCCTCTTGTGTGCCCGCAGCTTTATATCCAGCCCATGGTGGTGGCCAGCCTGAGCTACGAGTGCTACCGCTTCGGCATCTCCCCGTCCAGCAACGCGCTGGTGATCGGGGCCACCGTCATGGAAGGCTTCTACGTGGTCTTCGACCGAGCGCGGAAGCGGGTGGGCTTTGCCTCCAGTCCCTGCGCAGGTAAGGGGGCCGCTCGGGCGGGGCTGCTGAGAGTGTCCGGCGTCCTCTCGGCTCCAGACAGACAGGGTCTTTGCCAGTGCCCGTCCCACTGTGCGTCATCTCTGCAGAGCTACATTGCTCCGAGCGGGGCTGCGGGGACAGCCCATGAATGCTGGCATCAGGGCTTGGCCCGGGAAACACTCCCCAATGTCAGTCACTGCAGCACCACGGAGATAGTGAGGAGAGGTGGGAGGCGTGGCTTGCACGCAAGTTTGCACCCCAGGCTTGACCCTGGGTGCCACAAGGCCCCCTGGGCACTGCTCTGGGCACAGAGCCAGGAGCAGCCCCTGAGCACTACTGGGTTTGGCCCAGAACCTCCCAAATACAAACAGAACAGAGATAAGTGCACGTATGTATGTAGCACTATCACCCTCAGCTCCCAGCATTCCACACCTGCTCCAAAACACTCCCTGCACCTTGGGCATGAATCACAGGGCTTGGTGGTGGGGGGGGGGGGGGGGGTCAGCTAAAGAGAAACGAACCCGTCCAGGAAATGTCTCCCTTGTGGAGTTCCTCCCGTGCCGATGGTGACCCCAGTCCACTCCACAGATCTGCAGAGACCCCGGGGGAGCTAAGCAGGGCGCTGTCGCTTGGACACAGACCTGTCTGCGGATGTCAGAGTTTGCTGCAGACAGACTGTCCCAGGGCACCGGGTTCAAGAGGACAGGCAGCACCTTTGTGCGAACCAGGAAAGGGATATGAGATTCATTGCTGAGATGAGGAGAGAGTGAGAGAGAGAGGGAGACCGAAAGAGAGAGGGGGAGAGAGGGAGAGGAAGAGGGACAGAGAAGGAGGGACAGAGAGAGGGAGGGAGAGAGAATGAAAGGGGGTGGGGGGCTTGGGGTAGTGGCTCAGAGGATCACAGCTGCCCACAGCTTTCCAGCACCTGGGGAAAGGCTGGGTTTCTCTATTGGGGAAGATGGGTCTTATAGAGCAGGGCAGGTACTTGCCTTGCATGCAGCCAACCCAGGTCTGACCCCTGGCACCCCAAAGCTCCCCGAGCACAGAGCCAGGGACTCTGCACTCAGCCCCGAGCACCCCCGTGTGTGACCCACAGGCAGAATGAAGCCTCAGGGCTGTGCTGGCACCACACAGGCTGGGAAGACACCGTGCAGCTGCGGCCAGGAGGGACACAGAGGGGCGGCACTGCAAGGGGCCGGGGGGGGGGGCGCATGTAAGGGGCAGTGGGTCCAGGGGTCTGAGGGGGAAGCGGCACTGTAAGGGGCCGTGGGTCCAGCAGCACTGCGGGGCCTCTGTGATCACGAAGCACCTGGGAAGTTGAGAGCCAGGACCAAGGACCCGGCACAGAGTCTCTGGCCCCACTGCCCTGTGTGGGAGGGAAGAGCAGGTCTTAGTTCTGAGTGGGAACACAGGACACATCATCTAAGGTCGAAGGCCACCCCCTCCCACCTGGCCTGTCTCTGCAGGAAGTGCAGCAGCATCAGGATTGATGAGCTCTGCCCTGGCACCAGCAGCCCTGCAGGGCAGGAGCCCCTGAGTGGCCCCGCAGGGCAGGGGTCACACTGCACCCGAACTCCACTTGGTCTGCAGGGCGTGTGGGATGTGATGCCCCCACTTGGGCTGTGGCCATGGGCATCACGGTCTCAGGCACCGAGGGTTGGGGGCACCGTAGTCTTGGGCATTGGCATCTTGGGTGCTTTCATCTCAGCGTCTGGTCATGGTTGAAGGTGCTGTACTCTCAGGCACCGTGGTCTCAGATGCAGTGATCTCAGACTCTGTAACTCTCAGACACCACGGTCTCGGGTAGTGTGGTCTCGGGTGCCGTGGTCTCTGGCATCATGTCTCAGGCACTGTGGTCTCGGGTGCCATGGTCTCGGGTTCTGTGGTCTCAGGCACCGTGGTCTCAGGCATTGTGGTCTCTGGCATCGTGTCTCAGGTGCCATGGTCTGGGGCTGGAGCAGGGATTGCTCTTTGCAGGGAAAGGAAAGGCAGTCCTCCCTCCACCCATGCTCCATGGTTCCTTATCTGCCCTCACAGACAAGCATCTCAAGAGGGAACGGAATAGTGAAGTCAAAGATCTCTGCTGAGGGAGCAGGAGGTGGAGGGGGTGGGGAGACGATGGGGTCAGAGGGAAGGAGAGAACATGGGCTTCCCCAGAGGGAAGGAGCCGAGGGCAACCCATGAAGTGAAAGGAAGGCCCCACACAGCCAGGGGAGCTGCTCTGAACCCTGTGTGGTCTCCACATTCTGCCCTTGACCTTTGGATCCTGCTGGAGCTTCTCCTCACTAGAGGCCCAGATCTCAGGGTGCACTAGAGCCCTCAGGGCTGATGGCGAGCAGCCCCTGTAGGTCATATCTTGATTTCACTCCTTTCCAGGAATTCCCTAGCCTGGGCCCTGTCTGCTGGCTTTCACTCGCAAACGTGCCGCTGCCTGCCGGGTACCTGACCAGAAACCCCCCCCCCTCCCCACCAACACCGTCGGCTTCTTTTAGCCCAGAACTGACGCAGTGTCCCCACGAGCCCTGTCCTCTTGCTAAAGCCATGGCTGGATGGGCTACCATGGCAACCGAACACTCGCCCTTCCTGGCCGGCCGAGCCCAGCTGCCCTCCTGCAAGGCTGCTGCGCCTTCTCTTCCCAGCGCTGCTCGAGGTGTGGGGTCGGAGGCACTGGCTGTCCCACAAGTGCTCAGCTATTAAAGTAATGACATCCCTTGGGCTGCAATCAGGACCCAGACAGGCCCGTGGCCCAGAATAAATGGGAGGCTTGCCGCCCCTTTTTCTTCTGTCAAGTGTTTATTTTTCATTGATAACATGTTTTGAATCACAATGGAAACATTTAGCCCCCACCCATGCTGTGGGACAGGCCCTTGAGGCGGGACTGCATCCTGAAGCCTGGCAGAACGAGTCTGCAGTTCCTCCTGGTCTTCAGGGCTGGCCGCACAGGTCAAAACCCCTCCTGCCTTCCCCAGAGTGTCCCCAGGTCCTGGGGTCCACTGCACTCTCCTGCTCCAGACCTCCACATGGCCCGGACCAGTCCCTCATATACACACACACACACACACACACACACACACACACATACTCACACACACTCACACAGATTCACACTCACACACACTCACACAGATTGACACTCACACACACTCACACAGAAAATCACACACTCATACTCATCTACACACACACACTCACATACTCTCACACATACATACATACACACACATGCATGCACACACTCACACATACTCTCACACATGTACTCACACATTCATACACACACACTCACGCTTACACGCACACACACTCACACATGCTGACACACACACGTACATACATGCATGTGCTCACATACACGCACTCTCTACCCTGCAGTGTAGGCATGCTGGAGCCATGGAGCTGGAGGCTCTGGGCCAGGGGCTTTGTCCAGGATCACTCACTGACCACGTGACCACGTGGTTCAAATTTTGTAGGAACTGAGGTCAGTGGGAGAGGTGGGGTGCCAGGAAGAGAGAGAGAGAGAGGGAGAGGGAGAGGGAGAGGGAGAGACGGAGAGACAGAGGGAGAGAGAGAGAAGGAGAAAGGGGGGATGAGGGAGGGAGAGAGTGGGAGAGAGCTCACTTCTCAGCGTGACTGTAGGTTTTTTACTTTCACTCTGTGGATCATTCTTTGCTTCCTTCCCCCTTGGAGAAGCCTGAATACACTTTGGCCTCAGACTCTCTGTCTGTCTGTCTGTCTGTCTGTCTGTCTGTGTCTGTCTGTCTGTCTGTCTCTCTCCCCCGTTCCTCCTTCCCACTAGATGACTTGTTCCCTGCCCACCCCCCACGCCGCCCACTCATTCAGTTCTGTCTGGATTTGGGCCACCCAGCACCCGTGCTGAGGCCCACTCCACCTCCATGCCCGCTCTGGGTTCTGTTCTGTCACGTTGGCATCATACCTGTGCCAGCACCTGAGTTAGTGTTAATGGGTTTAGCAAAACCCGCTGTTGGGTGGGAGCCTGAGTCCTCTTGAGTGCTCCCTGGCGGCCGACTCTGTCCTTTATTCAGCCTGCCAGGAGCCCTGAGGAAGCTCTGGTGGGGTTTGGTCCCAACTGCTGGGGTGTGACTGACTGGGAACAGAGTCAGCGTGGCCGCCCACATCTCCCGGCTTTGGGCTGCCTGTCCTGGGGCAGCATTTCACAGTTTCCTCTAGAAAGGTCTGCCGTGATACTAGACTTCTCCACCTCTCTACTCTGGCTGATCCTTTGTTTTTTTGTTTTTATTTATTTACTTATTTTTGCTTTTTGCATCACACCCGGTGATGCACAGGGGTTCTTCCTGGCTCGTGCAGTCAGGAATCACTCCTGGCTGTGCTCAAGGGGACCATATGGGATGCTGGGAATCGAACCCGGGTCAGCAGCATGCCAGGTGTACTATGCTACCTGCTGTGCTATCACTCCAGCCCCTCTGGCTGACCCTTATAGGAGACTAACTCAAACTCTCCTTGAGTGAGTTACCTCATAGGCGTGTGATAATTTTTGCATATTGACCTTCAGCCATCGTTATGATTTATTTTAAAAATAATTAGGATCGTTGGATTTTCTGTGAAAGCAGTCATGACACTCAGCAGATAATACCTTTTTTGGGGGGAGGAGGGGGTTGCTGGGGTCACACCCAGCAGTGTTCAGGGCTTACTCCTCCTGGCTCTAAGCTCAGGGATGACTCCTGGTGGTGCTGGGGGGGGACTCTATGGGGTGCCGGGGATCAATCCCAGGTCAGCTGTGTGCGAAGCAAGCACCCAACTCACTGACACCCTGCACTCTCTCCCCGGCCCCAATCACACAACCTTTCTCCTTGCCCTGGGAGCATGGAAGAGAGATCGGTCAGAGCAGGGATGGAGCTCTCCTGCTTCTTTCTGCTTCTTCCCCTGAGCTATGTCAGACTCACCTGGAAAGGACTGTGTGAGCCACAGAATATTTTTTTTTAATTTTATAAGGTAGTTAACAATATTTGGTTACGTTTAAT